TCATATCCCTCAGGAAAATTCCCACATGGTAATCTTGTTATAGTTCCAAACTCTTGGAGACCACATCTTATGGGTTTACCTCCAAACGCAGTCCACAGTGTGTACTTGAGGTTGCAAACAAGCTGTCTAGACAGAAGTGAGTGTATGAGCTTGCAAGAAACAGGACAGTGGCGAGCTGGTAAGTGAAAAAGCTTTCCAAAACAAGACGCTCTTATCAATTTGAACTCCGGTGTATCTCTCAAGACTTGACGGAGGAAAGCGAGTATGTCAGGACCGGAGTATATGTTGAGTCGGTTCTCCAGGTATCTGTCTATAGAAAACAACCTTGACGACATTTTGGGGTCGCCTGTGATAAGAAAATATAGAAGTTGATGAATTCATGAAGATCACTCTCTTCATAAAAACACAAAAAAACAGTTGTTCGGTTTCTCAAATTAAGTAGATATCCTAATTTACACAAATATCTCCATAGCCATCAAACTTATCGATTTTAGAATTATGTTTTAATTGACTAGGTTAAAACACACCAAGACATTGTCAGAAAAGATAGTGAAGAATTAGTTTCGATTGGGAAGATATTGATGACGAAAGAAACCTAACCTCTTTGACGAGTAGAGAGTCAGCGATTCTTCGATTTCGATTCAGCGGCCATGACGATGAGAAGATGAGAGTCGATGAAGTGGAGAGTGAAGAGGATGAGAGATGGTGATTTTCCTATGAGAGATAGTGTAAAATTCTGATGAGAGATGGTGAGATTTTCCGATTTCGGTTCGTCGGGATTGCGAGTGAGGATGAGATAGACAATGACGAAGAGTGAAGACGATGAGAGACAAAGATGTGTTGAGGAGGTTGCAGAATCAAATCGGTGGAGAGGGCTATGGATTCATGGTGTTCTTCGCTGGATCGATGAGTTAGGGTTCATCACATTAGGGTTTATCGGGTGGAATTAGGGATTTTAACGAGATATGAGAGAGGAATTGTGTTTCCTTATTTTATCTATTTTCTCTTTAGTTAGACATAGGACAAACGAATGATATATATCTTTGAGGGCTTAAAACACAATACACATACATAATGTGTGTCTCCAATAACTTGTTCCTCTATGTGCAGTTTAAAAGTGGTAATGTGTTATAGAGTGTAAAATTATCTGCAAACAATCACATCTAAATATAATCAGATTTATAAATAAGTTTTAAAATTAAGTAACTTTTTATGATACAAATTTATTTACAGAATGCATGTTAAATATAATCGGACTACATATGTTGTTTGATACCATTTTATTTACATAATACTTGTTAAATTATTTCAATATATAATATATAATAAGTTTATTGAGTAATTTGAGTTATTGTACAGAAATGGATAAAATGATAAATTTACAATTTTGTGAATAAAATGGATAATTTGAAATTGTAATGGAGTAATATATTTGAAATATTCTTTGTTTGTCAATGAAACATCTATTCTATTAAAATAGAGTCATTCATTTTATCTACTGATACAAGTTGTCACTTAAATTTGGACATTTCCTAGAGTGTTACAAATAATACAAGTAATATAGTTGATTGAACCGCATTACTTAAATTAAACCGACGGTTATTTATGGAATAGAGTTTTGGGCTTACTTTTATTTTTATGACATTTAATTGTTTGGTTTTTGGGCTTAGTATTAAAGAAAAACTCCAAAAAACATTAAATAAACTTTCCACCTTAATGGATCAAAAAGCAATTACTATTTTTCAGGCCCAAAAATATTTAATATTTTCAACAAAACAAAATTATCTATTATTAATCACTTATTTAAATCATGTACTTTAAAACATGTTAATTTTTTTAGCCCAAAAATATTTAATATTTTCAAAAAAACAAAATTATCTATTATTAATCACTTATTTAAATCATGTACTTTAAAACATGTTAATATTTTTTATTTTAAATAACAATCACTCTATCTTGATAAATTTTAATGATAACTTTTAAATAATTCATTCTTTTATTTTTCTTAAATAATTTACAGATTTAAAAAAAAAATGTAAAGCAAAACCAAAAACCAAATCTAAAAACTAAAATCCAAAACCAAAAGCTGAAAACGCAAGTTATATTTTTTGCTTTTTTTTATTTACAAAATAAACTATTTCAAAAGTTTTAGAAAATTGTTTTGTCATCTTTTCATTTTTAAATTACATGTTCGATTAATTGAGATTTGTTTGTTGGTAATATCAGTTCAAACTAACTCAGCGGGTCTAAAAATTAAAAACCCAAACCAAAAGCTGAAAATCAAAAATAGAAATTTAAAAACTAAAAACCAAAAACCAAAATTTAAAACAAAATGTAAAAATAAAAACTGAAACTAAAAACTAATGAAAAACAACTATCACCACAAATTTTGGTAAACTAATTTTATACCAAAACATTCTTTAATTTAAGACAAAACCCAATTATATAAATTTTTAATCATAAAAATTTTCCGCGCGGGTCAAAATCTAGTTATTTTTAAAGAAAGGAATATAATTAAAGAATTTAATTCTATTTTAGGATGATTCTGTCTCAAAATGAAAGAATAAAATGTACATACTAAGACATTGGTGGACAACAAAGCCTAAATGGAATATTCACGAATACTAGGCCCACAATAGTTGCTTCAAATGGAAATATTTATCAATTGGGATTTTACGAATCACCCAAAATACAAGGACGTGATTGCTAATTACAAACTACGGTTGTAGATAAGATCTCTCTTTTCGTAAATCAACTTCACCACGGCACGCAATTCAATTTTCAATTATAATACAGTCTTCTCCTCCCGAATCCTACGCTCTCACCATGTGCACATTAGAGAAGCGCGGCAACCTCTTCCTCCTAACCTTAACCGGCGACAACGAGCACAGATTCAACCCCGACACGATCGCCACCATCCTCTCCCTTCTCGGCCAAGCCAAATCTCAATCGCAGCGTGGATCCGTACTCATCACCACCGGCCACGGAAAATTCTTCTCCAACGGGTTCGATCTCGCATGGGCCCAATCCTCCGGATCCTTAACCGGAGCAGCTGAACGGCTCCACCAGATGGTCGAATCGTTCAAGCCCGTGGTCGCAGCTCTCCTCGATCTCCCTATGCCGACGATCGCCGCCCTGAACGGCCACGCCGCCGCCGCGGGGCTGATGCTCGCGCTGAGCCACGACTATATCTTCATGAGGAAAGACCGTGGGGTTCTGTACATGAGCGAGGTGGACATCGGGCTCTCCATGCCGGATTACTTCGCGGCGATGGTGAGGTCGAAGATCGGGACGAGCGCGGCGAGGCGGGAGGTGTTGTTGAGCGGGAAGAAGATTAGAGGAGAAGAAGCGGTGGCTTTGGGGATCGTTGACTCGGCGGCTCATGCTAGTGCGGAAGGAGTTGTGGAGGCTACTGTGGGCCTTGCGGAGAAACTTGCCGCGAAGAAATGGAAAGGTGATGTGTATGCGTCGATCAGGAAGAGTTTGTATCCGGAGCTTTGTGGGATTCTTGGTTTAGAGGCTACTATCTTTGCAACACCGAAGCTCTGAAGACTCTTTTGAGTGCGATTATTTTTTTGTGTTTTAATCAAACACAGTTTCGTTATGGGGCATAACACATGTTGAAGTTAGAATTATGATCACAGAGACAAGAAAGATGTTCAACTTTTTTTGTTTGTTATAATAAATTAGCCGTGTTGTTTCGGACAACCAAAGCTTTGTGTTCTTTTCAGCCACATATCCCAATCCAGTTTTCTAATAATGTATTAGTGGGTCATTTCGAAATTGCAAAATTATTTTATTCCTAATCAAGAAAGTTGAGTTTGATCCACGCGTGTACATACTTATTTTTATTTTTATGTTCATAAAATATTATTTACATGTTTATTTGTTAATATTCTAGGAAAATTGGACTGTATAGCCATCAAAAAATTTATAATATCAATTATCCTATTTTTCATGTGTATTATTTGTATTTTGTATAAAATTGCTATATTGTCATTTGGAAATAAGCGGTGAAACCTGCAATGAAAGAAAAAAATTATTATTATATAACAAAAGTAATTTGTTGCCGTAAGAAAATCACAATCTCTCATTTCCAAATTTGCTCCACCATTTTTTTCATCACCTTCGATCTTGATGCCAATTTCTGATAAAAAAATTCATGTGCAACTGATATCATCACGGAGGTGACTCTTCGCTGATTTCAAAAACAAGATAGAAGGCGTCGAAGTAACATGAGCGGCGGCTAGTTGGATCAGCCATTTCTGATTGTCATTCACTTCATCCATTTCTGATTGTCATTCACTTCGGCCATTTGTATTGGATCTGTCTTTAAGTCGGGGCCCCTTGCCTCGTTTAGACGTCTGTTACGATGTCTGGTTTTAGTTTGGTATGATAAGTTGACATAGTATAGACTACAAGTAAAATAGAAGGGTCTAACGTGTTCTATTTTGTGGCACATGGAATGGATTTATGTGTACTATACACATAGAGTGACAGATTCATCGTCCATGCTATTCCATATTAGGTAGTCTCCAAATAGAACATGATTATTAAATGGTATTGTTTGTTACATATGTAGTATCGATACTTGTATAATCATATAGACTATTTGTAGTGTTTTTGTTTTATTAGTGTATATTCTATTTACGTGTTCGCAAACAGAATCGAATTAGTTATGCAATCTATTAACCTAGACTGCACATTTTCCGGTTTGACTTTCATAATGTCAAAGAATACTGACAAGCTTTAAGAACACATGTAATAGAACATAGTTTTGTATTCATGTAAATAGAATAGTGTATTGTCATATGTAGAACATTGGAGTTATATATGTGTATGGCTCGTTGTTAGTATGTATCATGTTCTAACAATTTCTATAGAAACTAGCCTTACTAAGACGTGTGATAGAATATATATCTTAACTCTTCTAAATAGAATTGTGTGTTCAAAAACATTTAACTTACATATATTTATCCTTACAATCTTATATTTCCATCGTTTGTTTTAGGCTAGTTATGGATGAGTTATAGTTCGTTCAGGAGCTGAGAACTACACAATTGAGACGCTGGAAATGTTTAATGCGAGAGCTATGAACAAGGAAGAGTATCCTTTTTTTTTTTTTTTTGAACACATAAGGAAGAGTATCCAAGTTATGATTTTATGATGTTTATGTTGTAATGTATTCCATTTTCTGTTAAACTCACATCTGCTACTTACCTGCATCTTGGCGTCCATTTTTATTAGGTGTCGTAAACTCTATGTTGTTATGAAGTGCTGTGAATTGTATTTTCCTTCTACGTGCACTCTCTCATACACCTAGAATATTTAGATATGGTTATAGAATGGATAGTTTCCCAAAATAGACTTAATATCTTTAGGACCTTACATACTATAATAGTCAGTGGTATCATTCAACATACAATGGAATGGAATGGTTTTTGGATGTGGTCTTGTAAAGAATACATCCAAAAACAATTAACTAACCGTTCTAATATTTTATATTAGGGTTTAGGGTTGATTGATTGGGGTTTAAGGTTTAGTATTTTAGTGGGGAGGTGTGGGATTCTAATATTTTATATTAGGGTTTAGGGTTGAGTGATTAGGGTTTAGGGTTTAGTATTTAGTGGGTAAAGGTGGGATTCTAATATTTATATTAGGGTTTAGAGATGAGTGATTAGGGTTTAGTGTTTAGTGGGTTGGGGTGGGGTTCTAATATTTTATATTAGGGTTTAGGATTGAGTGATTAGAGTTTAGGGTCTAATATTTAGTGAGTAAGAATGGAGTTCGAGGTAAGGTATTAATTTGATTATGTAAATAGAATGGGCTATTTATTACATGATATTTACCGGATGTTCTATTCTATTGTTTTTTACATAGAAACAATGTCGTCTTCCCTGCCTCCATTCTTTGCCATCGACTGTACATCGCTGCCGTCGTCCTCTCCTCATATACCTCGCCACACATAGTCATTTCACCTTTTCTAGTTGTTGTTCTTTATTGTTTGTTTTTTTCTATTCTTTTTGCTAAACTTAGAATAGAAATATGATTTTATGGTCAAAACATGAGTATGATTTATTGTGGTATATGATTCTTGGTTCATGTAGTTATCTAACAAATTCATTCTTAACACTTTTTAATACACAAATCTATTCTATTTTTTATTTTTATTTAGTATGGCTTAATATCGAAACATATTATTATATTAATTTTAGATTTTAATTTTATTTAAAATATTTAAAATTTATTATTGTTTATATTTGGATTTGTGTTTAATGATTACAGTTTAGGGTTTAGTGATTACAATTTAGGATAGTATTTAAAGGTTGGGTTTAGGTTTAATATTTAGGGATTGTAGATGGGATAAGATATTGATACTATTTTAGTGATATGATATCATCAACTCCATCACCTATACTATTTTGGTGATAAAAGTTGTTCTTCCCTTATCATATGCTCCACTAGAAGACTTAGCAGTAAATAGTATACTTATATAGTTAATTTCTATTCCACCAGTTTCGAATGGAATAGTTTTGGGATCAAGTAATGCTATAATATGCCAGCAGTATAGAACAACGCATTCAAGAACTTACAAGTCATGTGTTTGTACTTTTTCGTTCATTTATGCTTTTTGGTTCGTTTAGTCATAGTCAGTGTACATCTCAAACTCATTCAATTTATCATCTAAGTTGGTACCATTAACTCGATCACCTATTATACATATACGGAAACTAAGATTGCTATGTGGATAACTTCACGTGTCTTTATATGGTGAATAATGCTCATTAATTTTTGTCCATATCTTTTTTTTGTAGACGTCATTTCTCATTTCCTTTGTTAACTGGATACTTGGAGATGAAAGAGGTATAACCGACTCACAAGTGGTGCAAATGTTAGTTTGTTAAATATGTCAAAATCAGTGTCATATACTTATTTCCATTTATATTTTGGTTATTGAGCAAATTAATAGATATATTTGAGTAATATATCTTTGTACAAAGAATTATTTTGTAAATATAATAATATTAAATATTTTGATTAAATATGTTAGAAAAATATTCAATTATAAATATTAAATATTATTCTACAAATAATTCAAAATATTTAAATTTTATTATGATAGATTTTATTATTGAAAATAATCAGTAGTAACCGAATTTTGAATATATATAATTTTAAGCGACATTTAATTATATTAAAAGGGGATATGTGGTTACAAACATTTTATACTGTTCTATAAGTAATTTAAAAATATTTGAATCTTAGCAGATATAGATTTTATTCTTAAAAATAATCAATGGTAAAAGTAATGTGTTAAACATATATTTTTAGGAATATTTGTTATATTGTTTAATATCGATTTTAAATTTAAATTTTTCAAAATAGTTAACGATAACAATACCAAGTTTCATATCTTTTAAAACAATTTTAAATTTGCATATTCCTAAAAATTAATTAAATATTTTTAGGAAATATGTTACACAAAATTTTAGTTAAAGTCAATTTAGGAAATAATTAAATATAATAAAAAGACAAGGATTCCTTAGAAATATTTTCATTTAATTAATTTTATTTTTATGTACATGAATATTATTTACATGTTTATCGGTTAATATTCTAAATAATTATCCTATTTTTAATTTTAAATAAACATAATAATCAAATAGTGTATGTGCTGTGAAAATAGTGACATGTGCACATTACTAAACCTTAGAAAATATTAACATATAGATATTTTTGAGTAATATTTCTTTTACCCAAAATTATTCTCTAAATATAATAAAATTTGAAATATTTTGATTACATAGGGGGCCATATCGCGAGATTTAGATATGTTAAAAAAAAGAATATTCATTTATAAATATTGTTTTACAAATAATTCAAAGATATGTAAATCTTATTATGATATATTTTATTGTTGAAAATAATCAATAGTAACCGAGATGATTAAATTCTTTTTTTTGAAAATTGTGAATATATATAATTTTACACAAAATTTAGTTATGTTAAAAATGAATATTTGGTTAAAAACATCTTATATATTAAAATAGAAGTCACAACTTCAATTCATGTATGAATTTTTTTTTTATAAAATGGACTCTCACTAGAAATCAATTATCATTCATCGATTACTAATAATAGCTTAATGATAATATATCACTCCTAATATAACCATTGACTCCAACAAAACCAGATTGGTAAACAAATTCTCAATTCGTCATAATATATTTTCATAACTTTTCATTTAAAATAATAATATTAAATCTAAAATTTCAAAAATATGTTTCAAAAGATTTCAATATATTATTTTTAAAAAATTATCTGTAATTTCATTAAATATTTTCGTTAGTTTATATATATATATATATATATATATAAAATATAACAATTGTCTGTAAATATTTTCACTAAATTTTGTCATTATATATACATTATAACAAATATGTTGAAAATAATTTAACAGTATCTTAATTTCAAAATTTATGTAAATAATTTACTAATTGTGTTAAATCAATGAGCGATTATTATGAATTAATATATTCAGTTATCGTTTATAAAATAAAAAATAGTATTATATTGTATTATATTTTATCCATTATATAATCATAATAAATTATATTAAAATTAATATATTGAACTAAATCTGATAAAATTATATTAAATTGTAAATTTATATTTTATTTTTATAAATATAATATATTTATGTTCAAAAATATAATAGGTTGGGTTCCTCTTATATAGGTGTAGATGTCGGCTTGCTTTAGGTTAAACTCTTCCATATTGGTGAATATGGAAGAATTCCCTTAAGTGGAGAACTCCCATTTTAACCAAAGGTCTATTTTGGAACAGAGGTCGGACCCGAGGAATCTAGATGCAGGGTCCGGGCCCTGGGTCCCTTCGGAGCGAGGGTCTAGAGGCCAGTGCCCAGCCCGGAGGCCGGAGGAATCTGGTACCTGGATATTTTTTCCCAACAGTTCCGAATAAAGGAGTCACAAGAATTCCAATGAACTTAAAAGGGGCATACTAGTTGGATCAGGCCCCAAGGGGCACCTTGATCCTGGCAAACCCTACATCTACGTGATATGACTCACATATAAAAACACTTGGGTATACGAATTGGAACATGCCTGATCAACCTTAATACAATTTCGAAAATACCTCAGCCCCTGCGTAGAGGCCTCAAGCCGTAAGCCTACGCGGGGGTCACATGTACTAATGCATCAATCCCTGCATCAAACACGCCCGAGCTAAACGCATGCATGGGGCATCACGTATAACTGCAAAATACTGAGATCAGCCCCATGGTTTCAGGGAGCATACAGTGCAAGGAGCACTTCTTTCCTACTTATCCAGACGTGGAAAGTAGCAAGTCTGGTACGCGGGTCACTACTTCCCAGTAGACCCACCCCAGCACAAACATATAAGACTGAGAGTGGCTTTCTGCAGAAAGCAGAGTTCAACATTACAGGATCTTGATAGTGGCCTACTTCCGAGTGGTAGAATGCGAATCCACACCCGAGATCAGCAGTGGCCTACCTAAGGGGGGCAGAATACGATCCCGATGAAAACGAGCCTCCGGGTTCTAAATGTTCAAAATTCCGGATTTTACATTTTTTATATACCTAATTACGCGAGATCGGTAGTGGCCTACCTAAGGGGGGCAGAATACGATCTCGAAGACAATAACCTCCAGGTCATATATGTTCAAACTCCCGAATTTTACATCTCTTATCTACTCACCTCCGGGTCTAGGTCACAGACCTTAGAACCTACTCAGTAACCTCAGGGTTCTGAATAAGTTTCCCTGTAGTACAGGAAAGACCCCAGGGTCCCAAGCAATCGACTTGGATTTGCGAAATCCAAAAACTAACCTCAGGATTAAATCATGAATTTCCGAGTTCCTAGTGTTCAAAATCCCAAATTTTACACTTCTTGCCCACGGGCCCAGTTAGAAACCTCAGAGTCCAAGAAAAACCTTCAGGTCAAACATCGAGTCTTTAGGCTCAACCAGAATCTCCAGGCCCAGGTGGCAAGCCTGCCGTTTTAGCTTCCACGTTCTAAAGAGCTCTCCTATCTCCATGTTTGAGTGAGAGAACGCATGGCCCAATCAAAGATCCTAAGATCCAAGTAGGGTTCTAAGAATCCTCTAAGACCCTCGGGTCGTAAGCATTGAAAACTATGAGTTCTACATTTCCTATCCCTGAGCTCTAAATCCGTGGTAATACGATGCCAGGGACCGATCCCAAGACGCCTATCCTAAGGTACGAGCATCAGGTCCCTATAAAATAGCCTTATAAGGACTCTGAGGAGAAGAGAAATCTTCGAGTCCCCAAGGACCTTTAAGTTCTCCATCACCCACTCAAGAAGGGTCCAAGAGTCCTCTCCTCGAACTACTTAACTACCCGTAAGAAGAAGGCATGAAACACCCCAAGAATATTGAAGATGAGCACAAGATTTTAAAGGAGAAAGATGGAAAATATTATTAATGGCTGCTTAAAGAAAAGAAAAACTTCACCTCGCGACAAAAGCATCGACAAGGAGTACATAGTGATACAGCAAAGAAAAGCAAAAGGTAGAAACAAGAAAATCCAAGTCTAAAAGACTATAACCCTCCTGGAAAGGATGCCCGAGGGACTCCTTCAGTACAGCTCCCTCTCCCTCCTCCTCCTCTTAAGGATAGCAGCCGACGATACTCCCCTATAAGATCCCAACCGCCAACGCGCCCCTCCGACCATTCCTTCATAAGCTCCCAGCGAGCAAACGCCTTAGCTCGCTGCACTACTCCAGCATGGTGAGATACTACATCTCGGAGTTGAGCGCGAATAAAAAGAACTTCCTCATATAGAGGAACATGACGGCGAAAACTTGCCAAGTTAACATCACCAGAGCACCTCCGGGTAAAAAAAAAAGAGGACACGGGAGTCGGAGGACCTGCAGGAACTGCTCGCTGCATGGGCGTGGTAAAAGACTGTCTTCTTCCAGTCCGGGCCCTAAGATAATCATTGTATATCGACTGAACAGGAGCTTTAGGAACCTCACCTAAAACCAAAACACGACAGATTCAAAGACATGAAGCGCAAGAGGCCAATAAAGCTAGGGGATCACTTACCCCAAACACGGCTATGACGCAAAAGCGGCCGGACTCACTAGAAAGGAGATCCATCAAAACCGCTTCGGGATGCTCAGAGCTAGCCTCGCTGAAACTTCACCAGCAAAATCCACAAGTCTCGCCACCTCTGAAAAACCAAGCAACATAGTGAGAAGGTGACAAAAGAAAGTCGCTCGAAAAATAACCAGAAACTAACCGACGGAGCGCCAAAACAGTGGGTAGTCAGGAGATCCATCAATCTTCATTAACATGTATCTCCTATCCCACGAATCGCTAAAATTGAAACCGCCACGAACGCCCTGCAGAGGCTCATTTACTAAAGCCTCTCCTTCTCGGGACCATATTTTGTACATCTCCGTCCTATTTTGCAGGGGCGAAGCTGTAGGAATACATGACTTCACACCCCTAGTGGGATACCCTGAAGTTCTCCCAGCACCTGAACAACAATCAATGTACGCCATGACGACGGAGTGAGCTGCAAAGGGGAAAAGCCAAAGTAAGACGACACCTCCGCTATCAAGGAAGGAACACTGCTCTTAAAGCCGGCCTCCAGATAAGCCTCATAGATGGCTATTTCACCAGCGCCACCATCCGATGCACGTTCAAATTCTCCAGCACATCTCAATCCCATCGAATCAAGAATGGAATATTTCCTACAGATCCTGTCCAAATCTTCTTCCCCGATGTTTGAATGAGGGCCATCACCACCTACTTAATAAGGACCTGGAGAATAGGGTGCCTAGAGCGATGCCTTACTTAAGGGGAAAATGCTAAGATAAAGCGACTATGGTCATGACCACGGATGATCCGATGCACGTTTAAAAAGATGATCCACGGATTCATTCCAGTTGGGCGAGCCGATCCCTACATTACGGCATGCACAAATATGTACAAGCGGATCATCCTTTTGTCATCTGTTTCATACCCCCAAACAACCAACATGAAGTCATGACCACTGCTCCTGTGATCAACAAATTATGCTTCTGAAGTTTGCCATCTCCAAACTTTTTCAAACACTAACTTAGCTCCCTGGTATTTTTAATATTTATTTACATTTCCAAATTAATATACTTATATTAGGTTTATAATCATATATCTCTACATTATATTTCAGATGTTGTTGGTCATATTCCTTTTGTGCAAGGGTATGTTCTTATCAATGATGCAGCAACAAGAATATTTGTCATCCGTTTCTTCTTTGACCCGTAAGTTAAAAAAAAAAAAAAAGAAACCAGAAACATATGCTGATTCTTATCTATATTTTATCACTATTTTTATTCTTATTTTCCAATTTCATAAAACAGTACGGTGGTGGTGTCCGTCTCTCTGCAGCAATGTTTAGGGGCCTCCTAAACTCACATGATAAAACCCAGCTTGTCATGGTGGTCACAGCTGTCAATCCCAAAAAAATGGAGGTCTAGTTCTCATAAAACAACAGCAATAGTTGTGGTTTTCATGAACAATTGAACACCTTGAGCTTCGAGAGGTTGGTGAGTAATCAATGAGAACAAGCCTTCAAAGCTATTGCCATAAAGTTATAAGTACTCAAGGGATCTGAGGTTGCTGATGAGAGACGGTAGGCTTCCATTGAATTGATTTTCTGAGAGATCAAGAACTACGACTTTAGAGGTCCAGCTCTTGCAAAGTCTCCAATTCACAGATTCTTGCAGTGTCCAAATGTACAACAAATTAAGAAAAATATACTGAAGAAGTAGACATCTCTATATTTTAAAAGACTACTGCTATTGAAATATTAGAGCATGTACAACGCGGTAACACCTCGTATCCGTAGCGGTAATCCTTAGCTGTTTAGGGGTTAAATTAACATTAAAAATGTAATCAGCTAAGGATGAATCCTTAATGAGGGTGTTTAAGGACTAAGTCCTTGTCGCGTTGGCAGTTGGTGATTGGTTCGACTTTAGGGTAGAGTTTAGTTACGGGAGAAAAAATCTCACTTTCTCGAACACCCGAAAAAAAACAAAAGAGGCGATAAGAGAGGCGATTTTCGATCAACTTTTTTGAAGGTAAATCGGAGCTTTTTGTTCATTTTTTCCATTTTGGGTTGATTCCAGATGATTTCATGAGTGTTGAGGGTTCGATAGTGTGGTATAGCCAGATTTAGGGTTTGAAATCAGATTGGAGATTTAAATCGAACTAGGGTTTTCGTCTGGGTTTGTGATTTTTGTCTTTTGGATTCTTTTATTTGTTGTTTTCATCGCGATTCAAGGTTGGGATTGAGTTCAAAATCGATTTACGGTATTCTTCTGGATTTGATAAAAAAAATTCTTTTTTTTTGAATAAAAATCGTCTGGGTTTGATTATTTCTGGATTTACTTGAGCTTCTATGTTTGCAATGGTTCATAGAAACTAATTGTAGTTTAATACGTTGTTTGTTAATGGAAGAAGATGGCTCTGCTTCCTCTTCATATTCTCTGACATATAGTGATCTAAAATTCTGTTTCTTGGCGCAGGTTCTGAAATGGAGGAAGAACAACAAGATAAGAAAGCACATAAAGCATACTACGACATGCTTCAGTTTGTTACAGATGTGCAAAAGAGCATTCCCAAACTGTGCCCTTGTGGATCAATCACGAAGGAAATCGTAGATGAAGAGGATTCATATAACTACCTCCCTGGAAAACGATTCTTCATCTGCAAAGATTACGAGGTCTGATGTTTTATATGTCATCTTGTTCTTCCAAACTTGGTCTTCCTTTTTGACAAATGTTCATTTGTTTTGTCAAAATGACGGGCTCCATTTCAGGCAACCATGGGTTATGGGTGTGAAAGAAGAGGTTGAGAGGCTCAAACTACGGATTCACGATCATGAGAAAGTTGTGAGAGACTGCGAGGAACTTAAGGTTTTTTCTAACCTATTGTATGATTTTTCATAAACTGATAGTTGTGTGTATTATCTGTCTAACCTATTCTTTCATCTTTCTGATGTATGTCCTGGCACAGGTGAAGATGCTGATTAGTCGAGTGTCTGAACTTGAGAGAGCCATGTGAGGTTAGTGTATAAACTTAATTGTTTTCTTTTCCTGTTTTAACTCTTTAGTTCAAACGAAATAGTTAAAAGTTAAAAGTTAAATCTCTACTTAAAACTCACCAGTGTTATTTTCCTTTTAGAACTCTTCAGTTAAAACTAAATAGTCAAAACTTAAATCTATAGTTAAAACTTAAATCTCGAGTACCTATGTGTACTTTCCAACTGTGTAGTTATTATAAATGCTAACTAAAACTTAAATCTCGAGTAAGTATGTGTACTTTCCAGCTTTGTAGTTATTATAAATGCTAACTAAAACTTAAATCGCTAAAAACTTAAATCTCGAGTAGGTATGTGTACTTTCCAACTTAACTGCTGCTTCCAAACTAAAAACTCATTAAATTGTCTGATATGACTCGTATCTACTAGTATTGAATGGCTTTCACTATAGATTTCCTTATTTATTCCATAGCGTTTGTAGTAGAGAATCACAGAAACTTCTTCCTAAATGGCAAACTCCTCTAGCTTTGTTAACCTATTAGCAAGCCAAGGATCAGTTGACCTTGACTCAGTAGAACATCCTTTGTTTAGTACCCAATATCATGATGAGTCTAGTGTCAAAGACAATGCTCTTCTAAGGAGAAAATGGTCTGTTAAGGAGGATATAATCCTCATTGGTGCTTGGCTCAACACCAGCAAAGATGAAATTGTAAGTAATGAACAAAAAGCAGGTGCTTTTTGGAAGAGGATTGTAGTGTACTACAACTCCAGTCCTCTCCTAGTTGAGACAGTCCCGCGAGAACTAGGGAAATGTAAGCAAAGATGGGCTAGGATCAATGATATGGTATGTAAGTTTGCTGGCTGTTACGAGACAGCACTGATGGTATCAGAAGTGGGAAAAATGAGAACGATGTGATGTCGGCTGCCTTGGAGATCTTTAACAATGACCAGAAAATGAAGTTCAACTTGGAACATGCATGGAGGGAGCTAAGGCATGATGTCAAATGGTGTTCCACGTATCTGGAGAAGGAGAAGGAAAAACGCAAACCAGCGGATCCAACTGGAGTGAAGGAAATCGGGGTAGAGGAGAGACCAATAGGGGTTAAGGCCTCTAAGGCTGCTAGCAAGAGGAAGAAAACGGGAAAAGAAGAAGAATTGGTGAAGCTAGAGGGACTGTTGGAGATGAAAAGACAAATCTCAAGGAAAAGCTTGCTTGAAAGTTTGTTTGCAAAGCTGGAGCCACTCTCTAAGATGGAAGTAGCTATGAAATTGAAACTTATGTCTGAAATGTTGTGATGTTAATTGGTTTGTTTATCTCTAACTTTTGTTGTGTTTGCATAAGTAGTTTGCAATTGTTTTTTTCTTTACTAACTCGTTTTCTATTCTCTGTTTCAGGTTATAGTACAAGACCACGTGATGGATGAAGACAAAAGATGGTGTCTCTTTATTGTGTCACGGGTAGTTTGCAGGTTGTACCTTGTTTCTTTGTTTCATGGGTTCTTTGTTTCACGGGTTTTCTGTTTGTTTGTTTCACGGGTTCTTTGTTTCTTTGTTTCACGGGTAGCTTTTGTATTTCCTTTATAAGTCAGTATGTAATCTCAGAGAAGAACTATCTCATTTGCTCTTCATGTAATCCAAACCTAAAAACTTGTTATGCTATTCCTTTCCTCTACGTGCATTGTTTGAAAAGAGTCAAGACAGGATCAAATCTTTGCTAAGCTACCGCAAAAACCAAGTAAACTTGTTATGCTATTCCTTTCATTTATCTTCGTTTGCTCTCGGTTAAGAACAAAAAACAGAACCAAATTACCAATTTGTTTATACTTTGTTAGTTGTTTTCAGTTTGGTATGTTTTAACTGAAGTGATTCTTATTGATCTTTTGCGTTCTTTAAGCCCAACAATGCAATTAATTTTTTCTTTTTATACAAAAAAAATGATATCAAGAATTTACATGCAGAAAGAATTTCTGAGCTGATTTTACAAAGAAGTGATATCAAGAATTTACAAAGAAATAATACATCTTAACCTTTTTTTTTTAAATGAATTGTCACATTATAAGTTTAATAAACCCTTAAAAGTTTGCTCAAATATTTTGACTCCGGATTGAACCAAATTAAAAACATTTAGGGTTCACCGTTTCATCTCTTTATTATCTAGATTAATCAAATAATTTGTTTTTAACATACGGTCTTCTTTTCATTTGAACGAGGAAAGAAAATATGGCAGATGAGGTGGATCGAAGATTATATGCGATTTTGGATGAGGCTGTAGATGACTACGTTGAAGAAACATTCAACAACATCGTGGAGAATCAAACATCTAAACCGAGGAAATGTGCATATTACGAACGAAACCGCGAAGCGGGCCACCACCGTCTATGGAATGACTACTTCTGTGAAGATCCGACATTTCCGCCTCAATTATTTAGACGCTGTTTTCGCATGAACAAGGAAGTATTCATGCATATTGTTGATCGCCTCTCAGATAATGTTCCATTCTTTCAACAAAGGAGAGATGCTGTCGGAAGGATATGTCTATCACCACTACAAAAGTGTACGGCAGATATTTGTATGCTTGCTTATGGCTGTGCAGCTGACACCGTTGACGAATATCTCAGACTTGGTGAAAGCACAGAACTTTCGTGTTTAAGTAATTTCACAGAAAGTGTTATACAGTTATTTGGAGATGAGTATCTATGAAGACCCACTCCAGAAGATCTTCAACGAATACTCGATATTGGAGAGATACGCGGATTTCATGGGATGATAGGAAGCATCGACTATATGCATTGAGAGTGGAAAAATTTCCCAACCTCTTGGAAAGGACAGTACACACGTGGATCAGGAAAGCCGAAAATTGTCTTGGAGGTCGTAGCTTCACAAGATTGGCACGCTTTTTTTGGTCCTCCAGGTACTTTAAACGATAATAACGTCCTCGATCGGTCTCATGTATTTGATGACATTCTACAAGGTCGAGCTCCATGGGTACAATATGTGGTCAACAGACGCCAGTATGATTTGACGTACTACCTCACGGACGGCATATATCCAAAATGGTCAACATTTATCCAATCTATCTAATTCCCTCAAGGTCCTAAAGCACATTTATTTGCTAAAGTTCAAGAAGCAACATGAAAAGATGTGGGGCGTGCTTTTGGAGTATTGCAAGCTCGATTTGCAATAGTGAAAAACCCAGCTATTTTGTGAGACAAGAGACAAGAGACAAATAGGGATGGTTATGCGAACATGTATTATACTTCACAATATGATAGTATAAAATGAACGCAATGGATACACTCAGTATGATACATTTGAGTTTGAAGAAGGAGACTCAAGTAGAATTTCTTAGGTAGATATGTCATATTCTACCGACATGCCTTCAAATCTCGGTAATATGCTTGGCGTACAGAGTCATCTTCGAGATCGGAATATACATGAACAATTGAAATATGACTTGATCAAAAATATTTGGAACAAGTTTGGTAGTGATGAAGATGTTTAATTATTGTATGTTTACTTTTGATCCTTTAATAAATAAATTTTTAAATTAAAATGTTTTACAAAATTAAAAAAAAAAACAAAAAAATCTTAAGAACTCCACAATGGGTCCATTGGAGGAAGAACATTTGTGATAAAAGTCCTTAACAATTCAAAAAAACAAATACATTTTATAATGTTAAGAACTCCAATGGTGGATAACACCATTGGAGGTGATCTTGGATGCACGCCTACACAAATAATATCTGAAGACAAAATGACTTACTTCCACCATAACAATTTGGACCGTACAAAATACAACCCAAATAACTTTTCAGTACCGAATACATTTCGAATTTGACTGAATTCAATTCTTTTCGAACTTGCTTTTATAATTAGTCAAAAAATTTCTTTTATAATTCAAAATACTGCATAGCCTAAAATCGTTAATCAATAGTTAAAATAGGAAAAAAAATCTCATTTTTTGTTTGAAATTTTATTTATTATATTTATTTTTATAATTATACAATCTTATTACTAAAAATATTTTCAAATTTTACACTTTAAAAAAATATAATATAATTACAATACCGTTTGTTTTTTATATATTTACAAGTTTTAGAAATACTGTTTAGTTTTATTTTGTGGTAAATATAAAAAATAATTCATTATTTAGTTAATTTAATATATTTTAACCCAAATAAATAGATAATAATATATCTAAGATTTTAATTTTAATACACACACACATATATATATATATATATTCTTTAATGTAATAATAAACAAAATTGTATATTTATTTTAATTTTAAGTTTAACTGAATAAAAATTCATATTAAAATACTGATAAAAGTAATAAATCTAAATATTCAAAAAAATTATTTTAAAGCATAACTTTAATTTAATTTTTATTATTGTGCATGGTGCAGGGAAAGAACTCATATGTATGATGTATCTATAAAATAAGATTCCCATTCACATGCATATCAATACAATACTATAAGTTAAATATTACTCTTGGAGAGATTGTCCACGTTGGATAAAATATTCAACCAATTAGAACATTTATTTTGCCACGTCATCGATCACTGAAATAAACTAGCCTTTTTGGGTTATGTTAAAATTATAACTCCGCCCACCCGAGCCCTCTCTCCCACGACTCTTCCGCTTCATCTTCTCCTATCTCTGATTTATTTTGTGTTCCTCACCAAATATCGTCAAAGAAAACCATTCACTCAAATATGATTTCTTCGTTGGTTAACATGATTAAGGTTACCCAAAAAATCTCTAAGAACAGAGGTAAAAATACAATTCCAATGATGATGACGAAAAAGATGAATCAATGAGCTCGTAAGTGGTAATTATTTGTGAGATCTTCTTTGATGCTTAGAGCATCTCCAATGTATTACTCCATTTTCTACTCTAAAATGGAGTAACTCCAAAATGCAGTTGAGTTTTACTCCAATGTATTACTCCATTTTTTACTCCAAAAGAATATTTTTAATATATTATGTTTTATATTTATTTCAAATTAGCAATATCAC